TTCAGAAGGCGCAGTTCTCCTCGGCATCCTTCTTCTTCAGATGAGCTCTTTAAGGTTCGTCTCAGAGATCAAGCAGTTTCCCAAAGGTTGAAAGGCAGAAGTGAGACCTAAACTCAGTAGGTGTTACAGATTGAGTTGTGTCCCCTAAAATACACGTGGAAATCCTAACCCCTGTACTTGTGAATGTGACTCTGGTAGAAAACGGGGGTTTTCTCCTGTTACGTTAATGAGGTCACACCAGAGTAGGGTAATCAGCGACCAGAACAGACACACACAGGGGGGAGAGGAAGACAGACCACAGAGGCAGATTATCTACAAGCCCAGGAACGCGGATTGCTGGCAGCTACAGGAGGCCGAAATAGACAAGGAAGGTCCTACCTCCCGTCACGCTCTGAATTCGGACGTTCAGCCTCCTGAACTGTGAGAAAGCGATTCCATTCTTAAAGCCACCAATTGTGGTATCTTTTGTTATGGCAGCACTAGGTAACCAAGAAGGAGCCTGGTGGGGCTCAAATCCACCAGCCGCTCCTCGGGAGAAAGATGTGGCAGTCTGCTTCTGTGAAGATTACAACCTTGGAAACCCTATGGGGCAGTTCTCCTCTGTCCTACAGGGTCACTATGACCCGGAATCAACTCCACGGCAGTGCGTTTGGTTTGGGTTTTGATTTAGATAACTAAGACAATCCGTCTAACTCCTATTAAAAAATAAACCCCTATTAAAAAATAATTTTTCCCCTATTAAAAAAGATAACATCATGATTCTCATACATATATAAATGTGAACGAGTGTGAAAGATTTTAGTCTACACGTTACTCCACCAGGGAAGCAGACAGACATAACCCGTTCAGAAGAGAACTGAAAGAGATTCCCGTTTATATATCAGGAATATTGAAATGGACATACAAATCGAGGCAGAACTGGTTTTTACACAGGGTGGGGAAAGATAACTGAAGTTCTACTGGACAAGACAATTCAAATGTCTATCAGTTACCAGTTAAGCACTGAGCTGCTAACCAAAAGGTTGGCGGTTCGAACCCATCAGCCACTCCACAGGAGAAAGATGTGGCAGTCAGCTCCCGTAAAGATTTACAGCCTTGGAAACCCTATGGGGCAGTTATACTCCGTCCTGTAGGGTCACTACGAGTCAGAATCAACTCAACAGCAAGGGGTTTCGTTTGGTTTACCTACTGCTTACAGGGTTGCAAGCAAACAGTGAAAGGCAAGAATCAGATAACCGGAGAATGAACTGTTTGTAGGCGAGGCAGAGCTTTCCACACATTTTTGGAATGCCCCCAAACCTGTGCTCTGCAGTAGCTACTCTGCCCCCAAGCTCACAGGCCCCACATGTGTCTCAGGGAGTGGACCTACCCAGCATCTTGGGCCTGGAAGAGTTGACAGTCAAGGCTACCGAGTGGAGGTCTGAGTCGTGAGGAAGCCAGAAGTGCAAGGACAGGGGCCTAGGAAGTGGGCTCAAAAGCTGGGCCCTACAGGGCCAGGTAAGGCCCGCCTAGAACGCCCTAAACCCTTCCCGGTCACCACTGCCCCTTTCTGCCTCTGCAAGTTCCTGCTCTAGATCTAACGCTGCTGCCAAGCCACACTGAAGAGCCTGCTTGTTATCTTATCATTTCGGATTCTGAACTTTACGAGGCCGCAAGAGTCCATAATCCCCGAGGGTGGGGAATATGCGGAAGGCGGTGAATGTGGGAGAGGCCTCACTGGAGGCCGGCCAGGTCCGGCCAGGAGGCGGGTCTGTCAGGTCTATGTGGAACAGAGGGAGGACAGGCCTTGCAGAGCCCTTGTCTCCTGCTCCTTTGGGGCCCCAGCCCCGGGGCAGTTTGCAGTGAGAAAGGGTTGTTATTGTCACAGGGTAGAACTGCCCCCTAGGCCTTCCCAGGCTGTGGTCTTTGCGGAAGCAGATCACCGGAAGAGGCGTCAGGGTCACAAAGCTCCCTCCGCCATGCTCAGGCGAGCACAGAAAATATCCTTGTTTGGTCTGCCTTGAACCAGGTCTTCCCAAGCCCTCGCCAGCAGCTTAGTGGTAATAAATAAATAAATACATAAACTTTTCTTCCTTACCGTGCCAGCTGCCATCGAGTCGATTCCAACTCTGGCAGCCCCACCTGTGCTGAGTAGAACTACGCCCCATAGAGTTTTCAACGGCTGTTTTTTCAGAAGTGGATTGCCAGGCCTTTCTTCCGAGGCACTTATAGGTGGACTGGAACCTCCAACCTTCGAGTGCCTTCACCATTTGCAGCACCTAGGGACTTCATTTTCTTTTTAGCCAGGTTAAAACAGTTTTAAGGAATGATTTGAACAGTGCTTGAGTAATGCCCAGTCTCTGGGGAAAAGTACGCCCAGGCCGCCTTCTCTGCTCCTCTCTGCAGGGGCGCCTCTGTCCTAGGGCAGCAGGGAGGTGCAAGGGGCTGCATGCCTCCTGGGGACGGCGAGAGTCAGGTCTTAGGGACACGATGTTGGCCCCCAGCTGCTGCCTGCTACCCGGGCCCCTCAGGCCCCCAGTCTCTCTAGGGGTCAGGCTGAGCCTAGAGATCCCCATGTGTGCCCCTGGGGCTCCAGACCCTTCTGAGGCCTGGCTGAGCCCCCTAAAACTCTAACCCTGTAGGATTTCCAGATAAAATACAGGATGCCTGGTTGAATCTGAATTCCAAATAAACAACGAATGGAGCATGCTTATCCTAAAACATTATTCCTTGTTTATTTGAAACTCAAATATAACTGGGGTCCTGTATTTTTATTCGCTCTGTCTGATAACCCTACCTGTCGTCTACCCCACAGCCTTGCTGTGTCTCCAGCTCGGTGTTGGGCAGTGGCCTCCTGTTACCTGCATTGGCTACTGGGCCATGCCAGAGGAGGGCCTGGGCCCCCATCTGCCTGCTTGACTTTCCTCTGCCGTCTCCCTTACCGCCCCCACAGTGCCACAAGTTTCCACACAGCTTCCAGACTAAGACAGACTAGGAAGAAAGGCCTGGCGATCTACTTCCGAAAATCAGTCAGTGAAGCTCTATGGAGCACAACAGAAGATTGTCCAATATAGTGCTGGAAGATGAGCCCCCTAGGCTAGAAGACACTCAAAATGCACAGTGGCCACAACAGTGGATTTGAGCGTGCCAGCGACTAAGATGGTGCAGAGCTGGGCAACGTTTCCTTCCATCATACGTGGGGTCGCCATGAGTCGGAGCCAACTTGACTGCAACTAAAAACAGCAATCCCAACACCGATATTACTGAGCACGAACATTTTTTGCTCCCCTGATGGGTGGGTAAAGGTGTCTCGTTTTAAGTCGCACAGCTCTTCACGCTGATTAGCCGTTTGGAAACGTGTTACTTCTTCTGTGACGATCCTGGTAACGCCTTTACCCGTTTCTAGCATGTTGTCTTTTCTTATCGACACGGAAGTCTGGTACAGATTCTGGATACTAATATTGTGCCTGTTACATACATACATGTAGCGAATATGTGTACTGCTTGTCTTTTAACTCTCTGCTTGTCGTTAGGTGCCGGCGAGTGGGCTCCGACTCATAGCCACACGCACAGCAGAACTAAACACTGCCGGGTCCTGCGCCATCCTCACAGTCGTTACTATGTTTCAGCCCATTGCTGCCGCCTCTGTGTCAGTCTATCTCATTACAGGTCTTGATCGTTTTCACTCACTCTCTGCTTTACCGAGCATGATGTCCTTCTGCCTACTAGTTGCCGCCAACCCCGACTCACCGTGACCCCCTGGGTGTCAGAGTAGAACCGTGCTCCACAGGGTTTTCAGTGGCTGATTTTTCTGAAGTAGATCTCCAGGCCTTTCTTTCAAGGTGCCTCTGGGTGTATTTGAACCTCCAACCTTTCGGTTAGCCGCCGAGAGCGTTAACATTTTGCGCCACCCAGGGACTCCTTTATCTCTCCTGGGGTGACTTTTGTAGTAGAGGCGTTTGATGTTTCAGCGTGGTCAACTTTCCTGTGTTGGCCTTCAAGACTTTGCTGTTTTCCTTTGTCTAGGAGGGTTGTCCCTGCTTTCAGGTCATGAGGATATTCGTCTGCAGTTTCAGCAAATAAATGTCAAATTGTGGTTGTCTTTGTTTTGTTTGGCTTTTTAGCATATACAACTCCCAGATGCCTTTTGGTAGCTAGGTCTTTAATATTTCAGTATCCTGTTTTGGTACTGGTCTCTTCAGATTTTTCTCTTTTTCCTGATCTAGTTTTGCTAATAACTGTTTTGAAGTGTCCATTTCATGGAGGTCTTCAAAGCTGAGCTATTTTTAAATCTTTGGGTTATGCTCCCTCTGTAATCTTCTGCCTTCCCTCCCTGCTTCTGATGCTTTTCCCTAAAAAAAAACTATCTATTTTGTCTTTTCAAACAACAAGCTCTTGATTTGATCCTATTTTTTCTTTTTTTGTTTTCTGTTCCATCAGTTTCTGCTTTTATCTTCTTTACACCTGTTTTCTTTGGATATATTTTGTTGTTCTTTTTGTGGTTTCCAAAGTAGAAAGTTTGGTTTCTTTATTTTTACATCTTTCTTGTTTTCGCATAAATGCAGTTCAGGGGCTTCAGTTCCCTCTGAGAATGGCTTTCATGGTATCCCAGGGATTTCATACGAGCACTTCCATTTTCCTTGTTACAAATACTTTGTAATTTCTGTGGTGACTCCCTCCTGAACCCTGCTACGGGGAGAC